CCCACAACTCTTTCCATGACGAAACTGGAACTCCGTGCACTTCAAGCAAGCACTCCCTCTTCACCGCCCAGCCCTGGCAGCCACCCTCCACTCTGCCTCCTCCGTTCCCACTACTGCCATCCTCCTGTAAGTGGGACCCCTCGGCCTGGCCCTCTGGCGGCTTAGCTCATCAGCGTGATGTCTGGGAAGACACGGTGCGGGCCCCTGCGTCTCCCCGCCTTCCCATGCCCCTTCCTCTGTCCCAGCGGCCGCCCAGCCCCACTGAGCCAACCCTGGTCTTCCTCAGCCTGGCTTGAAGCCTCCACCTGCGACTGGGGTGAGTGTCACCCCCCTCCGCCACCTTGGCACTTTCCTCTCCTGCCACGAATGTTGGCATGCCCTGGCAGGACAGTGTCACAGTGTTGGCCGAAGAGGGCGGGATAGGCGAGGGACAGCTGCTTGGCGGGGGCTGGTGGGCAGCGACGAAAGCATTGTGGACCGAACCGTAGCATTGTGGACCGAACCGTAGGGTGAGGGGATAAATCAGGGTAAAGGAACTGACCGACACCCTACCCAGCTTCTAACTCGTGCAAAAAGAGAACATAGCGACCTCATCTGGATTCCATCTGTGAACCCAGGGACCATGTTTTTCTTAAGTCTGCTATCAGGCGCACGCGCTCACTGGAAAGAGCGAGAGCAAGCGGGAAAGTGAGAGATCAGCCCGGGGGGATGGCCACACTGCAACCCCTTCTCCTCCACTCTCTTGGGATTTTGGGCACACACGTGAGCTGGATATGGTTTGTTGTCGTTGCTGCTTTTTATTTTTCCTTCAAGCCTCCGGGTCCAAGACTCAGACTGCACAGCTGACCACGTGAATGCAGCCACCTTACCCACCATGCCACTTGGCTGGCCTGCAGAGACCACGTTGACTCAAATTTGAACTCTAAGATGTACCCTGGGGCCTTGGCGGGCAAGCTGGCCCCTGGGGGGAGAAGAGGCTGAGGGTAAGTGGCGGGGTGCGCGGGCCTCCTGATGTCAGGCTTTCTTGCCTGCTCTCGGTCCTGTGGAGACAGTCTCGAAACCTGGATGAGTTTCAGCAGGTCAGGGCTGGGTGGCACTTATTTTTCGGATGGATGACGGTGCCCCGGGGCGCCTAGCAGGGCTGACCCCCGGCGTCTTCCCAGGGTCCCCTTGGCTCCCAGATGCCTCCCTGTCCAGCCTCCTGCAGTTTTCAAAGGTTTAAATGCCCGCTGAGCCTGTCTCTGGGTGGCTGCTCTGGAAGGGGTCCAGAGGGGCAGGCTGGGTGTGGGGAGGGGAGGGAGTTGTCTCCGAGGACTGACTTCGTGGCCACCTCCCAGTCCCAGCCTGAAAGACCCCAATGGGGCCCTCAAGGCTTCTTTCTTTCCCAGAAGAATGGCCACTCAGAGGGCTGGCTTTGTCTGGAAGGCCCCCATAATTAGCCCACCCGAGGGCCCCCTTCCTGCTTCCCACAATGGCTCCTTTCAGCCTCCCCCGGGGCACCCTCACATGGTTCCTGAAAACCCTTACACCCCCACCCCAGGGACCCACAGCCACCTCCCTCCACTCGGCCTACGCCCAGCCTCTGCTCAGAGCAGAATCCTTTGGTGAGCAGGGACATCTGAGTCCCCAAAGCTGCCGAGGACAAGGCTGTGAGTCTTTGCCTCTAGAGATGAGAGAGCAGAGGCCCGAGAGGACCTGTGGGTGGTGCAGGGATGGCCCCGGCCTGCCGCCCCAGGACAGTGCAGCCTGTCTGGGCACTGCTCTGCCCAGGGCTTCCGCACACCCCCTAGCAGCCTCCCCTGTCCCCGGAGACCGTCCCCTTGTCCCGGGCCTGTGTCCTGCTCCCTTCAAGTTCGCAGAGTCAGAGACTCACAGACTGTGACTGCTAAGCGAGGTGTGGAAGCACTTCTCTCCACCCCACTGCAGACTGGAAGCGAGGCCCATGCCAAGAAAGGGCCATCTGTGGCCACCCGAGGACTAGTGTGAGGACACAGGGCAGGGCTTCTGCTGTGCTCTCATCGGGGAGAATGCAGAGAGGTGGGTCCAAGGCCTGCCATTTGCCTTTAGCAACCCTGGGGGCCTTCCCCAACCCTGGAGAGGGTCCTTCAGCCACAGAATGGAGCAGACTCCAGGCTCTAAGAGAAGATTCTGAGGAAAGAGTGAGCAGCTGTGGGGACAGGGAAGAGAAGTCTCTAGCAGAATGTTTCGTTGTATCGCTGACCCTCGCACATCATGGGGCCTCTCTGGATGTAAAGTTTTCTTCGGATGTGATAGAGTATATGGGTAGAGCAGGGGTCTCTGAGGTCTCCTTCAGCTTGAAGATCTGGCTGTAGCTCAGGCTCTGTCTTTGCAGCTAACTTACTTCTCTGTCCTACTTAACATATGATCTCTACCTCGTAGTCCGAGACGGCCGCATGAGACCCAGCCATCACGACTGTATTTCAGCCAGGTGGGAGGAGGGAAGGGTAGAGAAACACCTCTGTTTATAAGAATAGATCCTGGAAGTTATGTTCAACACTTCTTTTTCCACCCCACTGACTTAGACCCAGGGCTGCATCTAGTTTCAAGGGAGGCTGGGGGATGTGCAGTGCCAGCCGTGGCCAGAACCCCTCTCACACAGCTCAGTGCCACGGTCTCGGCTCCTCGCAGTAGGCTCCAGTGCAGCCCTTGGGCACAGAGCAGTGCACGATGTCACGGCTGACACCCTGTTCAGCAACAGCTTTCTCAGCTGCAGTTGTTTAGTGATACCTCTGGGAGGTTGGACCAGGTCACTCCATCGGGTGCCCCTCATTCTCAATGTAAGTCAGGGCTTCGCCATCTGTCGTTTTATTTATTTTTTAGAGAAATTTTTGCTCTAGGGTGCATGTGCTCTCCAGAGAGACAGAAAGCGAGAAATTACCCCCCCCGGGGGGGCGGAGATATGGCCACACCACAGTCCCTTCTCCTCCAATCTCCTCTCAGGATCTTGGGCACACAAGCACATACACCTGATGTGAGTTTTGAGCCACCGTGTCTGGGACTCGAACCACAGTCGGCTATGTGGAAATCCAGTGACGTAACTGTTACGCCATCTGCTGGTTCCAGGGCTTCACCATCTAGACATACTAAAGCTTCAGGCTGTGTTTCGGACGTGGCCAGTTTTCCGCCATTGCACACACATGTTCGCATCTTCACCGTGTGTGCACACATGGCCCTCCAGGAGGATTCCTGAGCCTGAGCCCAGGCTGAGTCTCTGTGTGGGTTTAACTCCTTGTCGTCGACAGAGGGCACACGGGCTTGCCCAGAGAGCGAGAAGCACCCCTCCGGAGGGATGGCCTGCCTCATCCCTTCTCCTCCATTGTTCCCTCGGATTTGGGGTACACATGCTCATGCGCCTGGCGAGGTCTGAGACTCAAACCACACAGTCGGCCCTGTGGTATCCAGCACCTTAGCCTCTATCCCACCGGCTGTCCCTGTGGGCTTAACACTTTCTACCTAAAAATCCTTCTCTATTGGGGCTGTAGCGTCGGAGCTGGCGGGCCCTGCCTCCCCGCTCTCTGCCTCCTGCTGTTGTTGGGGCAGCCAGGGCATTGTCCTCACCCCATGCCCAGCTCCAGGTCTTAGCTGTCCCCGTGCCCCGGCTTCCCTTATGGACTGCAAGAAGAAGGGGCATCCTCCCTAGTCTCCTCTTGAGAAATCAGGGCCCCTTCCTGTCCCCACCTTCATCTACTCTCTCGTGGGGGTGAGCACGCCCTGAGCACCTTTTCCCTTCCCATTAGTTTGCACCCCTGCAGAGCGCCCCCTCCAGGAGGGGCATGGCGGCTCAGGTGGGCGGTCTTGTGGGGGTGGGGGCATGTCTGGCCAACTGTCCCTGCAGCCCCCAGGCCTGCAGGGACGTGCTGGGGGTGAAGAGCAGGGCTCCCCAGCCTCTCTGAGGTGAGGAAGAGGAAGCCCACCGAGGCCTGAGGCCTTCGGGGCTGCCCCAGGCTGGCTCATCCGTTTGGGCCCGCAGCCCAGCTGAGCAGCAAGGCTGACCCACATAGTGAGCTGAGCCAAGCAGGCGGTGGTTCCCTCCCCTCGGTTGGGTGCAAGTCATCAGACAATGCCTGGTGATGGATGGTGACAAATGAGGGCAGTGGGGGGTTCCTGAGCCACCAGAGCCACAGCTGGGGAACTGAGCCATCAAAGCCCCAAGCAGCCTTCTCCACCGAGGTGACTCTGAGGGCCAGAGAGATCAAGTTTCGGGCAAATGGTTTGGGGGCGGTGAGGCTCCAGGCTGGAGACAAGCTGCCCTGTGTGTTGCGTGGGGCCCCAGCCCTGCTCTGGGCCTGAGCTGCAGGAGGGGGTGGGGTGGGCTTCTCTGATCCTGGAATCGCAGGCGGGAGGTCTGGGGTGGGGGCAGGAGGAGGGGCAGGGCCAGGGCTGGAGAAGAAGGGAGCTGCCTTCCGGGAGGAGGAGATCAAACACCTTTTAAAGCAGGTGCCCGGGCTCTGCGTGGCCAGCAGCTCACACCACACAGCTCGCCAGACACCCAGGTTTCTGAGCCCGGGCCGGGGTCGGGGGAGGCCCTGGCTGCTGGGGAGCACCCTGCCTGCCTGCAGGGACCAGTCTCCCTGGAGTGGTCAGTAAGGGACAAGGAAGATACAGAGGGGAGAGGTCCAGAGCGCTGACAGACAGGTAGGCTGGGCCAGGGGGGCCAGGGCTGGCACCAAGGCTGGGAGGCAGGAAGAACCTGTGTCGGGCTGAGCCGCTCTGAGGGGCAGGGCAGGGCGGGCACCTGAGCATGCCTGTCCCCAGGAGACATCGGGAGCTGGTGGGGGCCGTGAAGGCCCTGCAGGGTCTGACTGCAGACAGGTTGGCAGAGAGCCTTGCCCTGCGGTCAGTGGGGTGTAAGGACAGAGAATTTGGGGGGCTGGCCAGCAGGCAGCCTCCTTGGGGAGTAAGGGGGCTGCAGGGGTCTGCCTGTCAGGCCAGACCACGGTGGCTCCATGCCGGCCCTTACGCGGGAGACCTTGCGGTGGCCCTCTGAAGGCAGCAAACTCCCAGCCCAGCCTCTTCTTGATTGCTGCTCCTGGTGAGGGGCTCACTACCTGCAAAGCTACCTCTGTCCTGAGCTGAAATCTGCCTCCCTCTCTTCCTCCTGGTCTGCTGCAGCCTGGCCCTGAAGAGGGGAGAGACATCCTGCACCCCGGAACAGCCAGCTCCCTCCTCCTCCTCACGGCTCCACACTCCTTCCACAGCAGTCGGGCCTGACCCTGTTGGGAGGACCCCATGGGTGAAGGGCTGGGAGTTCCAGGAAGGGTGTCTTGGAGGATGCTCTGGCTCTCCGCACTGCAGGGGAGCTCGGTGTCCAGAGCCATCCATGCCTCCCGACCAGCAAGGCTGCTTTAGCCCACGGCATGGAGTCCAGCAGGGCCTGGGCCAGACCTAGGCCCCTGCGTGTGAGGGGCAGCGTGAAGTGCGCAAGTGCACGTGTGTGCTATGAGTGTGTGGCATCTCTGGGGCGGAGCTGGGGGCCGCTGGCCTGCTGGCCGACTCTACCTTCGCCACTTATCCCTGGGTCTGGGGGTGGGCGTGAGGGAACGGGGTGCTGAGGCTGGGTGTCGGAGGACTTTGGGGTGTGCCGTGGGGGGCTGGGAGGGTGGAGTGTGGGGGATCACCCTGCTCCCACCGTGCTTGGTTTACCCATGTGCCTCTGGTGCGTTGCTGAGGTTCTGGGACCCCAGGGGTGGCAGATGGGGGTTCTGGGGTTCTCGTAGTGTCCCTGAAATTTAGGTGTTGCTGAGATCCCAGAGGTGCTCCGGGTGCTGGGACACTGCTGTGGCCCCCTTGCCCCGGGCCTGCTGTGTGCTCCCCCAAGCCTAGCACTTTGCCCTCCCAGGGTTCTGATGACCACAGACTGCAGGGGCAGGCGCCTGCTCCTGGATGTGCAGATGCCTCGGGTTTAATCAGCTTGAACAAAAACACGGGGAGGAAGGAAGCCCCGGCCTGAGGCCTTCATGGGCCAGCTCCAGCCTGAGGGGTAGGACGCTCCGTGCCAGGTCCGGATGGCAGGTGGCTTTCCGTGGCTCAGAGTCCAGAAGTTGTTCCGGACTGCCTGCGCAGTGAGCGGGGCTTAGCCACGCCCCGTCTGTGCCCAGCGGGAGTCCCGCTGGCCGGATGGCTCCTGAGTGTTAGTCTCTGTTCCTCTGGTCATGCCACATGGGCTCGTACGGGCCACCAGGCCAGAGGGCAGACGCTCCGTCCCCCTTAGCTCAGGGCTCTGGAAGGTGACCCTGCGCCTCTCCAGTGAGGAGGGGCTGGCATCCTGGGTGCTGGGCCCTCCTTGGGGAGGGCGCTTGGGATCCATGGGAAGGCCGTGAGGGGCAGAGCAGGGTTTGGCCTGGCTTGTCTGTGGCACTGAGGCTGGTGAAAACTCTCATAGGCAGTCTGAACAGCTGTCCTCAGGCCCAGGTATAAACCTGCATCACCTCCTCCATGAGGCCTTCTGTGATCACCCCCTACAGCAGCTGACTCCTGTCCGCCTGCCTCTCTTTTCCCCTGTCTAGTTTCCCTCTCAGCACACACACATTTTGTCACGCCCGCCCTGTCCCCCACTAGTGTCTCCACGCCCCCCACCACATGGCAGTTCCGCGAGCTCAAGACTGTCTTCTCGTGGCGCCATTGAACACTGCCTGGGCACACAGTTGGCCCTGCAGGGAAGTTTGAATGAACAAACCAGCCTGGAGGGGTCAGGGTGGGGGTAGGGCAGGCAGTGTTAGGCTCCCTCCAGGAGGTCATGGGGTCTGACAGGCAGAGCCAACCAGGATGTCTCCCCGCGGAGAGGGCTGGCCTCCAACCTTGGAGAGGGATTTTAACTCTGAGGGGCATTGGTTGGTTCCCAGCTGCCCTGGCCCCTACCTGAATGGGGGAATGGCGTGCTATACCCTGGAGTCAGAGCAGAGGACTCTGGGAGCAGCTAGGGAGACCCAGGCACAATGGGAGGCTAGGCAGGCTGGCCCTAGAGAGCAGGGGCTTTGGCCAAATCCCTTTATTTAAAAAAAAAAAAAAAAAAAAAAAGTTTATTTTTCACACACTGAAGGAGTGAGAGACGGCACCCCCAGATCATGGGCTGGCTGTGCTGTGTATGCAGGATCCCCCGTGCAGCCTGGGGCCCTCCATCTGGGCAGCCTGCCAGGGCTTCGCGCTTTGCTGTGCCATGTCCCGTCCCCCAGACTCCCATCTCTGAATCCCCTCAGGGCCCAGCACCTTGCTGGTGTGGAGGGGAAGGGGCAGAGAAGGTCCGGTCTTCCCAGGGACCCCAGCAGGCCTAACAGGCAGATCCACAGGCCCAGCCCGCCAGTGTGGGCTCCTGCGTTTCATCAAGTTCAGGTTCAGCTCTGAGTCAGCAGCTGCTGGGGAGCAGGGGGGGTCTGCACTCTTCCTGGAAGATGGGCCAGGCAGGAGGAGGGAGGGGAGGCCCTGAGGCCTGCAGAGTGCTCAGGCCTAATCCTGCCCCGGGGCCTGGCGAGACAGGGCTGGGTGGGGAGACTGGAGTTCAGGCCCAGCCTGCTCCAGCGCTGCTCCTTGCTCCCCCTTGCTCCCCTCCCCCTTACCAACTCGCTTCAACGCCCCCTGGCTGGCTGGCTGCCCCTGGTTTCCAGATCTCCATTGGAAGGCTACGGGTCAGAGATCCACCCCCTCCTCTGGGACTGAATTCCATTTCCCAGGGTATCTGCACCCTCCCCCCCAAACTAATCTCTCCCATCTCGGCCCAGAGCCGCACACAGTAGGTGTTCAATGTATTCCTGTTAGAAGGACAAGCGGATGACTGCCTTTCAGGATGAACACTGTGGAGGGGGGATTGCGCCCAAGCCCCCTGTGGGGTACTGGAAGGCCAGGGAACTTTGGGGCCTGGGGTCCCTGGAACTGCAGTGGGGGAAGTGTCTTCAGAACAGCTCACCCGCTCTCTGACTCCTGGGGTCCTGCCTCTCTCTGGGTTGGAGCCAGGGAGGGGAGGGGCCGGTCAGAGGTTCAGCTCTTCCAGGGAGGGAGGATGGGGGGGCTGAGGCCCTGGTGGCCTTCCTCACCCTCACCCTCACGCTCTCCTGCATCCCTGGAGAGGCAGGAGATGGGTGGGGCTCCTTGCCTACCCGCGGGTCTGGTTCGCGTTTAAAGGACTAATTTCCGCCTTGTGGGGGTGAGTTATCTCCTTGTGAAATCGAGTCGGAGGAACACGAAGGTTTTACTAGGGAGACGCACAGTGCCTCCTTCGTGGAAACCCCAGGAGGAGGAGTGGACGGGCTCCTCTCCCGGCCTCCGCCCCAGCCCAGCCCTGCCCAGCCCAGACCCGGCAGGCTGTCTCTCCGTGGGTTGCCACAGTGTTGGGCTCACAGGGGGCACCACGGATGTGGCGGGAAAAGGTGTGGGTGTTGTGGGCAGGCACCAGCAGCAGGTATGTAGTGCAGGCAGGTGCGGGCCCTCCCAGCCATGCCCTCCAGGTCTCTCCGCTCCCAGAGGGCTCCTCTCCCCACGGGGCTCTCCTCTCCCAGGGGGCTCCTTGCCCCATGGGGCTCTGTGGAGGATTCCTTGTGTTCCCATCACGGCAGCCCCGAGGGTCCCAGGAGGGGCCAGCTGAGGCTGGTAGAAGGTCTGGGGGGCATCCGAAGAAGGTGTTGGGCTGGACCCCTGAGAGCAGGAGCTGCAGGAGCCCTTTGGGGAGGGCCAGGCACCCTGCAGAGCCCGCCCAAGCCCACCCACCCTTTCATCTCTTCATCTCTGCAGCTCCTTCTTTCCTCTGTCCTTCTGTGTCTGTGGGCCCACCAGGTGGGTTTGGAGAGGAGGAAGGAAGGGGGTCCTCCATGGACAGCTCAGACTGGGCAAAGCTGCGACAATGGCCATTCAAGCAAAGGACTGTGTAGCTGGTCAGACAGACAGACGGGCGGAAGCTCCCCCAGAGCCCAGAGACCCCAGGGGATGTACCGTCACCAAGGCAACAGCTCTCTGCAGGACTAGGAGAGGCTGGGCGGGCAGGGGCCAGGAGCAGACACCAGAGCCCTCTGTGCCAGCCTCAGTCCCAGGCTGGCTTTTCCCAGAGGGCTAAAAGCAAGAAAGTAACCTTTGGATTAAAGAGAAACATTTCTTTGTTTGGGTTTTCTTTCTTTCTTTCTTTTTTTTTTTTCCCTCTCTTAAGCCTCTTTTCACATCTGTAGCGGCTTTTTCTCCCTGTGTGGGGGTCAGAGGAGGCCCCAGCATGTCATCCCAGGTGGCAGGGAACCAGACAGCCCCAGGGGCTGCTGAGGACTACGCCTATGGCAGCTGGTACATCGACGAGCCCCCAGGGAACGAGCAGCTCCAGCCGGAGGGGTAAGCCTGGAACCAAGCCTGGGACCCGGGCCCTGTGGGCCACCAGGGGCTGTGGTGGAGGGTACCAGCCGGTGGGAAAGGGGAATCTGGGTTTAAACTGGTTCTGACACTCACGTGCTATGACCCGGGCAAGTCAGTCTCTGCGCCCTCTAGGTGAGAACAGCCCTTAAGGTACTTGAGGTGGGGGGCCTGGGCCAGGCTGGCCACTCAGAAAACATCTGTGTGATGTGCTTAGAATACAGGTTCCTGCTCTCCGCCCTGCCCGTTACTGACCCAGTAGGCTGGGGTGGCCCCTGGGTGACTCTCTGGGCCTGGGGCCAAAATGCAAGGCTCTGGGGGAGCCATGGCGGGAGGCGGGCTGCCTTCGAGGGGCTGCTGGTCTCTGTGGTGGCCACTGGGATGTGGTGTTTACCAGGGTCCTGACTCTGGGTAGCCTGAGGTTGGGAGGCGGAGAAGCAGAGGAAGGGGTGAGGGGCGCTGAGGAGCGAGCTGCCCTGTTGTCTTTGGATGGGCTCGGAGTTCCGGAGGGTGAGGAGGAGGCTCTGTTTTCCTTAGCAAGTGTGCTCAGGCCGGCCCAGGGGAGAGTAGGAGGGAGAGAGGCCTCCTCGGGCCACCCTGGGGCAGCCTGCCTTTGTCTTTGCTTACTCTGGGCCTTCCTGTGCCCCCTGCGGCCGAGGACCCCTGGCCTGTGGGACCAGAGCTAGCTCTCCCCGTGCTCCTGGCCTGGCCCGGCCCTCGGCCTCCCTGCGAGGTCGAGCTTAGGAAGATGGGAAGGTGAGACTGGGGGAGTTGCCGAGCCAGATGTGTGCACATCTGGTCTCCATCAGTGACCAAAGCGAGAAAAGGAAAAATACTCGCGTGCCTCCCTTGGGCCTGGGGCTATGGCCTGGCCAGGCGGGGTCACCTGGCATGGACGGAGGTGCCCCCCAGGCCCATTGGAAGGAGTTGTTGTTGAAGTTTCCAGGGGCCCAACTCCCTGCTGTCAGCAAGGGTGTGCCTACCCCCTCCCCTGCATTCCTTGCTGACTTTGACCCTCTGGATCCCCCTGCCGTGCTGTGCAAGTATGGGTTGGGGCTGAGGCACAGATGGGGAGCAGCCCAGGAACAGAGGGCAGAGCTCTGACCTGGCTAAGGCCCCTAATCTGAGGCGGTGTCCTTGGGAGCCTCTGGGCTGGTGTTGGAGAGGGGCCAGGCGCCTGCAGCTGGCTCCGTGGCCAAGATACGTAGACATGGTCTCAGAACAGAGCGGGTGCCAGGCAGGGATGGGCGAGGGGGCCTGCTGCCCGAATGTGGCATCTAGAATTCGCAGCGCCCCTCTCTCGCTGCAGGGGTGTGTGCCCGTAAGAACAAGAGGCTCGTTCCAGTTCCTGCCTGAGCCCGCCACGTCCAGGCACTTGCTGTCCCTGCCTGAGAAGTGGGGGTGGGAGAGTGGGAAGTAGGGAGCGCAGGGGAATCCCGACTGGGGAACTCGGGCTCACCTCTCCCTGTGAGTCAGATGCCCCAGGGGCACGAGGCATGGGAGCTCCCAGGAGCTCTGAATGGCCCCCACTCCAGGCCATCGTATGGGCAGGCCAGAGCCAGGGTGGGCAGCCCTGGTGACAGAAGCCACATGGCCTCAGCCCAGGTCCAGTCACAGAACTCTCAGACCCAGACCACTGCCCAGCCGCCCCCAGTGGCTGCCAGGGCCTCCCAGGCCTGCAGCAATCTATCTGGGCCTCTTGGGGCTGCAGCCAGCCCCCCACCTGCCCCTCTCCGTCTGCACCCACCCCTGCTCCCCTCTTTGCCGAGCAACTCTCCAGTGGAATACCGCCTTCCATGGGCCTTGTCCGGGAGTTCTTCTCCCTCCTCCGCACCCCTTAGCAGCCAGTGCCTTTCTGGGTGTCATTCTTACCTGTGCACCCCGCCTGTCCCATAGCAAGGAGCATGGGGCCACAAGCCTTCAGCTAAGCCTTGGCTCATGGAAGGGGCACATTAAGCTGAGGGGACCCTGCTCCCAGGGGTACAGAAGGGGCCAGAGGCTCTAGACAGGGCCCTAGAGGGATCCCTGGAGTGGGGGTCACAGGTGAATACCTTCAGGAACAGTTTGCCAACCCGCTCTGGCTGGGCCTGGGGCACACGCATGAGCAGGACCCAGGCAGAGAGGAGTTGCAGGCCAAGATGGGGCAGATGGGGTTCTGAGCTCTTGGGGCTGCGCTGAAGCTCAGACCTGGCCTACACTGCAGCACGGCCTCAGGCAGAAGCAGGGGCTGGACTCAGGACGTGGGCCTCTACGTGGCACCCACTCCACTGAAAGCCCAGACCAGCTTCAGTAGTGGGCTGCCTCTGCCCTGGCCAAGAGGTTGCACAGGACAGACTTTCCCTGCCCGTCTGCCCCGAGGACCAGCCCTGGGGATTTCTCTTGCCCACTGTTCACCCGCGGGGATGTCCTGAGAGAAAGCAAGCTGGAGAGACTGGGCTGTCTCTCCCCAGAAGCTGAGGCCTTGATTCCTCTCGTCCACAGAGCAGGAGGGGGCCCGGTGGGTATGGCACAGGGACCGTCTCGGGCCCTTCCCCCCAGGCCTCACAGGCCTTGCTGGCACTAGTGCCCACCCCTCAGCACTCCCAGACCCAAGCTGATCTCACCCCCACCATGGATCTGTGTCTGTGCTCAGCGGCAGTGAGAACAGCTGTCCGCGGGCCATAGCGAGCCTTTGGGGTGAAGGGAAAGGGGCCTCCATGTGGGTGTATGTACCTCCTCCATAGGTGCTGGGCTTGGAGGGCAGTGTGGTCTGGGTTTCGGCTCACCTCATTCCCTTGGGCTGTGCATCCTCGTGCAACCTGCCCACTAGACATGGAGAGGGAAACAGAGGCCGAGGGGGACCAGGGGGGATTATTCCAGTTACTGGCCGATCTCAGACACCAGAGAGTAGAGGTGAACCCTCAGGAGCAAGCACCTGACTGCGTGGCCCGGGTAGCTGGCTCACGGGCAGTCCTGAGAAGAGGGCTGAGGCCTGGGGCAGACAGGGAGTCTTCCTGGAGGAGGAGAGATGACGTAGGCCTTGAAGGACAGGATGTAGCCAGGTGAGCAGGTCCAGGTGTTCAGGCTGAGCTGGCCCACTTGCTACCTGTGTCTCCCCCTGGGAACCTCTGTCCTCTGCCCTGTAACCCCCGAGCTTGCCATGGTGCTGGCACACCAGAGGCGCACCAGGACTCAGAGTGACCCTGAGAACAAACATGGAACTGGGCAGGCTTGGGAGGAGAGAGTGGTGGAGGGAGGAGGTGGGTGGGGCCTCGCATAGGTACCCTCAGACCCCAGACTCAGGCCTGAGCCAGATTTTGCTTCCCCTGCAGGGTGGTGCCCTCCTGCCAACACAGTGTGCCACCTGGCTTGTTGCATACCTGCCTGGCCTCGCTCTCGGTAAGTCCGACCTGAGTTCCTCTGGCTTGCAACCTGCAGCTAGCCTAGGCTGGGGAAGGGGACCCTGAGGGCCCCTGGGAAGGGGCCTGGGAGGTCTGGGCTAGGACACAAGCCAAGTCTGACCTCCAGGATTCTGCCATGGTCCTATGATGCGCCCAGCCACCCAGGCCCTCTGTGGTCTTCTTTCAGGCCCTCGTGCTGCTGCTGCTGGCCCTGCTGGCCCGACGCCGCTGGCTCTGGCCCAACTGTGGGCACGGCCGGCCTGCACTGCCCAGGTTGGTCCCGGCTGGCAGGGCCTCTCTGGGAGGAGGGGTGACCTGTTAGGTGCCAGTTCTGGCCTTGGTGCGTCCATCCCTGCCTCTCAGCCCAGGGGCCCACTCCACCCATATCTCCAGGTTTACTTGAAACCCCCAGGAGGAGAGAGAGATCCACTTGGGTCCGCCTGCTCCTATCAGCATCTGGGAGAAGGCCCCCAGCCCAGATCCAGGGAGCCACGAGTTCAGCAAGATCAGCTCCTGGACCCCCTGCCTCTGTCTGGACTGGTCCCAACTGGCCATGATCACTCAATGCCATCTTTAAAAAAAATTATTATTAGTTTTGTTATAGGGCATGTGCGCTTGCCAGAAAGGGAGAGAATGAGAAAAGGAGAGGAAGGTGAGAAAGCACCCCTCAGGGGGCATCCCTTCTCCTCTTGGGATTTTGGGCTTGCACACACACATACTCAGCATGTTCGAGACACTGGGACTCAAACCATGGAGTCAGCCATGTGGGATCCAGCTGCCTTAACCTCCATGCCAATCGCTGGCCCCAATGCCGTCCTGGCCTTCATTCTCCCTGAGGACACCACCTGGACCCTAAAGGATGCATAAAGGACTGACTCCAGGCCCTCTGAACGTTGTCTGCTGCCCTGTCTTCTTCAGCTCTGCAACCCCAGAACCTGGGAAAGGCGTGACCTTGAGCAAGAGGAGCTGGGCAGAGTGGGGTGGGAGATGAGTGGGCAGAGTGGGCTGGGGTGGTGGCAGGTGGAGCCCCAGTGTAGATGGCCTAGCACCCAGACCGAAGCTGCACGCCCACATGAGTCCTGCCCAGGGAAGGGGCTTGGGGGCACATGAAGCAGGATGGAGCTCAGAGCATGAGGGCAAGCTGGAGGCAGAGGCAGAGGGTCCAGTGCTCGCCCTGAGCCGGGAGGGGGCATTGCCAGGGCAGCCGTGGCCGCTGCCTGCCCTCTGTCCCGGTCCACACCCAGCCCAGGGCGGCGTCTGTTGCACAAGGATGCTGTAACTTGCCGAGTACTCTGAAGGTTTGCCAGGCCAGACAGACAGACCGATTAGTGTGGGGGCGGCTGTTTCCTGGGACTCCAGGGCGGGCGGAGTGGGCAGGGCTTGGGCTTGTTGCCGCTGTGTGTGGGTCGCCGAGTCCCTGTGCCACAGGGCCCAGAGCATGGTGGATACCTATGGAAAGAATGAAGGAAGGAGCCCCAGTTTCCCCTCTGGGAAGTGGGACTGGCTCTGCCTCCCCGGTTAATGGAACACAGCCGGGAGGAAATGAGGGTGCAGGGGCTGAGAGGCTTCCTCCTGTCCCGCCCCTGCCTCTGTACCAGCCCCGTGGACTTCCTGGCTGGGGACAAGCCCCGCGCAGTGCCGGCTGCCATCTTCGTGGTGCTCTTCAGCTCGATGTGCCTGTTGCTCCCTGGCGAGGACCCGCTGCCCTTCCTCACTCTCTCCTCGCCTCCCAGTCCAGGTACCCAGCATGCCCAGCCCTGGGCTGCCTCGGTGGGCTGGGGCCCGGTGGGTCCGGGAGCATTCACTGTGGCTCAGGAAGGGGACGGTAACAAAGACAGCTGTCGATGGGAGGATGCCACCCCATGGCAGCTCTAGACCATGCGAGCCTCAGGATGCCTCGGGAAGCACAGACCTTGGCCCTGCGTTAGGGGCACTGAGGGCCAGAGAAGGGGTACCAGTGTGCAGGGTCTCCTACAGTGCAGGAATGTGTATTATGAAGCAACCGCGTGAGTTTCAGATATGTTTGCCCCAAAGTAAACTCATGGGGTGGCCCCATAGCCTAATAGTTAAGGGAGCCACATCTCCTGTGGCCCGATGTGTTTGAATCCTGGCCTCCGCAGTTTGTAAACTATGTAGGGTGCACGTGCATGTGCCCCAGATGCTGAGTGGTTGGAGAAATGGGGGAGAGGGATTGCGGCATGGCCACGCCCCATGGGGGTGCTTTCTCTGTCTCCCTCGCTCTGTCTCCATCTCTTGCTGGCAAGCGTACAGGCTCCCTGGCATTAAAAACAAAATCCCTAAATAAACTCGCACTTTTAATTGCACACTTCCACGTGACGTGCCAACGTGGAGGCGTCTCTGTGGAGTCCCCAGGCACTGACCCAAGCACTGCGTCTGTACCTTCTTGCTAATACCTACCGGGACCATTTCCATTTCACAGGTGGGGACACCAAGGCCCCGAGAGGTAACGTCCCAAACCCCAAAGCTGAGGCCAGCAGAGGGGCGGAGGTTGGAGACGGAGGCCTGGCAGGCTGGACTCTCAGGTGGCCTCTCCTGCTCTGCCAGGGCCCTGGAAGATGCTGGGCCTGCTCTATTACCCTGCTGTCTACTACCCGCTGGCTGCCTGTGCCACAGCTGAACACGGAGCCGCGCTCCTGCTGGGCAGCGTCCTGTCTTGGGCCCACTTCGGGGTCCAGGTCTGGCAGTGGGCAGAGTGTCCTCAGGTGCCCAAGGTAACCACAGGCTGGCAACAGCCTAAGGTGGAGGGCACGGGGAGCCTGCATGGGCTGGGGGGCTCCCCGTGTGTGTCTGTGTGAGATCTCTGCCACCCTGGATCACAGATGGATCGCTCCAGCAGATACGCCCATCCCAGCGTGGCTTCTTGATGGGCGAGGCAGCTGGGCCCTGCCCTCAGGAGCTCCTAGTCCACGAGGGGCAGGGGCGAGGTGGTCCGAGGAGGAGGAAGAAGCCTGGGTGCCCCATAGGGACGCCTGGTCCTTCTCTAGCCAGGCTGCAGGAGGAACGGATGGTGGCAAGCTAGGGCAGCCTGCTGGCAGGTGGTCTCAGGGCTGGCAGGAACGTTCCTGGCTACTGTCCGGGTTGGGCTGCTGCCCGGTCTGGGACCCACGGCCAGCAGTGCAGCTCTGGAGCCGGTGGCCGGCTGGCATCCAGCCTCACAGCCGTCTTGCACTCAGCCCTCTGTCTACTCATCTCAGGCTCCCTGCCCAGGCTAGTCGAGGTACAGGGAACTGGAGCAAGCAGGACAGGGCAGACCCGGCCCCAGAGCTGGGAGCCCGAAGGCCGGGGGCACTGAGTGCTCTGAGGGAACGAGGCCGTTTCCGAGACACCGTGTCTCCACCTGCAAGTCCAGCGCTCGGGGTGGAGGTGAAGATCAGGAGGTTTCTTGAGGGAGACTCGTTGGGTCTGTTTCACTACCTAGAACCCAGCACACCCTAAGTCCTCGATCAAAACATTGAATTAACAAAGAAATGAACGTGAGGGGCCCAGCTCCAATAAGGCCTCAGTCCTGAGGAGCAGGTGGGGCCCCCCTGATGTCTGGGTCGTGGCCTGTGGGCCTATGTGTACACGACATAGGGCATTGCCTAACTTTTCAGGTGTCCTAAGGCACCGGGAACTTGGGCTCATTCCAGCCCTCATAACCTCCTCTTGGGCTCTTCTTGGGCCCCCGGGCATCCAGGAAGGAGCCTGGGTGGGGGTGGCTGGAGAGAGGGAAGGATGTCTGTGCTGGGTGGCAGTTACGGGGAACAGAACCAGAGGCCTTCCCTCAGCACCCCAGACCATTTGTCCTCAGGGGTTCTGGTTCTCAGTTGGAGAAAGAAGGCAGAGGTCAGTCTGTCTGGGTGTCTGTCTGTCCAGATCTACGAGTACTATTCCCTGCTGGCCTCCCTGCCTCTCCTCCTGGGCCTCGGCTTCCTGAGCCTTTGGTACCCAGTGCAGCTGGTGAGAAGCTTCAGCCACGGCACAGGAGCAGACTCCAAGGTACGGGCAGGGCTGGGGCGGACTCCCTCAGCACGACGCCCAGACCCCCGTATGCACAGCCACACCCCCACACAGCCTGGCACGCAGCAGGTGCTCCGGAAATGTCTACTGAGTCAGGAGCCCCTGCGCAGTCCTTCCTCCAGCCCCCGGCAAAGGCTGGCCTCACCTCAACTGGCAGCCGGAGTGCCCCAGGCACCAGGCTCTGTACTTAGCAGGGATGCCACAAAGGAGAGCTGGGTCAGAGACGGGAATGTCGCAGCTCTGAGCCAGGACGCAGCTGGGGCAGAGACCAGTTGGGGGCCCGGGTCCCCTCAGCTCTGAGGGTGCTGAAAGGGTTCAGGAAGCACCCAGGGAGAACGGCATTGGCAGTCGACTCTGGGCTGGATATGGTTAACTGATGTCGGAGGGTGGGGAGTGGTCCTTCCTGGAAGAGGCAGACTTTAGCAGGGAGAGAGAAGGCATTGTAGGCCCAGGGAGAGCTTGAGGGAAGGGGCAGAGACAGGCCCGTGTCTGTCCTGCTCAGGTCTATGCAGCACGGGGCAGGTTCTGACACATACGAGATACTCAGCGTGATTTCCGAATTTGGGGTAGATCTGTGGGTTCGTCGGGTGAGAGAGAACTGTTCAAAGACTGCGAGTGTAGTGCCAGTTTGAGCCCCTCTGGATCAGCCCTGGGCTGGGCTTCAGGAACTGCCAGAGATGGGAGACGGACCCAGCGACAGCGTGCCGGCACAGTGGGGACGGGCCTCGGGTCCCCTGAGATGGTCTGGGGCCCCTGGGCCTCTGTCTGAGGAGGCCACTGGCTTCTGTTTGGCCCCCGCATGGCAGGCAGGGGAGCTTATCCTCCTTTGAGAAGGCCTGTCGTCCCCTGGGTTCTGCAGCTTTCTCAGATGGGGGAGTAGTCCCCTGAGAACACTTAGGTGCACAAGCACATCTCTGCCCCCCGACCCCCTCTTTACCTCCTCTGCCTTCCTCCACCCAGGCCTCTCCTCTCACTTCTTAAGAAGAAGAAACTGCTCCTTGGACTTTGGTCAAAGAGGTTTAAACCTCAAAGGGACTCAATGTGCTGACCCACTCCTGCCCTAGATCCCACGGTCGCCATGGCGACAGGTGGCCCTGGCCTATGTTCTCCTCTGCTCCAGGGCAGGGGCTCACCCATCTTCCCAGGGGCCTCGGCCACTTTGCAGGCAGCTTAAGCCTGGAATGCGGGTTAGACAAATCCGGTCACCCTTGTGATCTCCCTTGAGTAGAAGCAGGAGGAGCAGCCTGGGGATGTGACCTGGAATGGCCCCAGCCTGGTCCTGTGCAAGGACTTGCCCCCTAGATCAGGGGCAAAGGGGCAGGGCTGGGGTGGGCTCCTGCTCGGCACCAACACCCCAGGCCCCCGTCTGCGGTCCCGTGGACACTGCCCAGTGCGTGGGAGAGGAAAGGGCCCCATGGAGGGCGTGGACCTTGTCCCCACTGTCAGTTGGCCCCTTCTGTGCCCACACCACCACCTCAGGCACGAGGTTTGTGCTCGGGGCCAGCAGGTGCTGGTGAGGGCTCTGAACTCTCACGTGGCCCACTGCAGTTTGAGTCCCGGATCTGGTGTCTTGTTTTCTCACTTCCCCCTCTCCTCTGGTCAAATTAAAATAATAAATGAATAAATAAAATAATTATTTTTAAAAAAGAGGTTTGCGCACAGTGTGTGCTTGGTGTCGACTGGTACCAGAACCAGGCCCCAGGGCAGCTCGCATCAGGCTCACCCGCTGGCTTCTGTCCGTGTCCACAGGGGCTGCGGGGCAGCTACTCTGAGGAGTACCTGAGGAGCCTCCTCTGCAGGAAGATGCCGGAGAGCAGGTGAGTCTCAGGTGTGCCCTTGGTGGAGGGGGGGACAGGGCTGGATTGGCGGCATGGCTGGAGGGAGCTTGCCTGGAGCAGGGCGTCTCCTGAGGCCCCACCTGGCCGGTCTTGCCTACAGCTCCCACAGCTGCAAACATGGCTGCCTGTCCTGGGCTCGGTTCAGCTTCAGATACTACGTGTACACTCCACAGCCAGGTATGGGGCGGGGCTCGGGTGAAAAGCCAGGGCACCCCCCACCCCCTCCCTTGCCCTGGGGGGCAGCCTCCTGTACCCCAGGACCCTGGTCATCAGGAGGGCATCTGCTGACTTGGGCCAAGGGGAGACCATGGCCTGGTCTTGGAGGTCCAGATTGGTGGACTCTGGCCCTTGTGGGCTTTGGGAGGGACGGGGCTGCTGCCTGCGCGGAGCTGTTCACTGTGCCCCTTCTGGGGACTGCAGGGTTCCGCTTCCCCTTGAAGCTGGTGCTTTCGGCCACCCTGACAGCCACGGCCACTTACCAGGTATGTCCTACATGCGACAGTGCCCTTTGCCTCCAGACCCCTGCCCTCACTGCCAGGCCTGGAGTAGCCCAATCCGGCTCAGCCTGGCACATGCCTGCCCACAACCCTGTCAGGGTACTCCAGTGGTCTGCGGGCTGCTGGCCCACCCAGCAGGGATGTGGCCGAACTCTCCTTGGGCTCCCAGAGTGACTCGGCTTGAGCTCGGGGGGTCCCAGGAACACGGACTTGGACTCTTTGCTCTGGCGTGACCTTGGGCACGTCACTGCACCTCTCTGCACCTGCCAGCTCATCTGGAGAATGGGGAGACAGAACTACTGCCCTGGCTGGGTCGTTGGGAAGGTTTAGTGAGGCACATTCCCCGCCACCCCACCCCACATCCTAACAATTAGAGTCTTGGGAGAGAGAGATAATTTTTCTCCACTTTACGGATGAGGGAGATTGAAGGTGAACTGGCCAAGTTCCTGCGGCTGCTCTCTCGGGAGAGGCCATAATTTGAACCTGAATTTTTAATCTGTCTGACTTTAATGCCAGCGCTCATGTGGTTTTTCAACGTGGGAAAGCTGAACATGTTGTACTCTGAGGTTGGATAGTAGGTAGGGAGGTAGGTGTAGACGTGCCGCTGTGTGGGTGAGCTGGTGTAGACTTACTGCTGGGGTGCTTGAAGACCTATCGGGCTAGAGTGGACCTGCTTGCAGCGGGCTCTCCCATGGCATGAGGACCTGCTCCGAGGGCACCTCGTGAACCCTGCCCAGCGTCGGGCATGTGGCTGCCGCCTGTGTATTGCCAGTGTCCCCCGCCCCTGTCCCGATCGCCCCTTCTCTGGGAATGGGTGTGCCTGGTGTGAGCACAGCCAGGCCCGGCACCTCACGTGAGGTCTTCCAGGTGGCCCTGCTGCTGCTGCTGGCCGTGGTCCCCACCATCCGGAAAGTGAGGGCGGGGATCACCATCGATGTCTCCTATCTGCTGGCTGGCTTTGGCCTTGTGCTCTCGGACGACAGGCAGGAGGTGGTGGAGCTGGTGAAGCACCACCTGTGGGCTCTGGAAGGTGAGGCCCTGGCCCCGAGCCCGCGTCCCTGCCTGCTGTGGCACGCTGAGTGCCCTCGTACACCTGCTTTCCCTTCCTGGGCTGGGTCTATCTCCAACCAGGCTGTGGGCTTCTAGTTCTGAAGTTCTGAAACTTGTCCTGCAGCGCCCTGCCCCTTGTCTGGGCAGTGTGGCCTCCCAGGCCCAGTGTGTTTATGTGCACTGCTGGCCACTGCTGGCCACCACCTCCCAGGACAGTGTGAGCCCTGAGCCCTGCCCAGACCTGCACCAGTGGCCTATGCTCAAGTGCAGAGGATGTGGGTCCACCTTCGTGGGCTGTGTGGCTCCCCTCTCCGGCCCCTTCACCTTGACACCAGCCACGCACCCAGATGGCTGTGTCCACAGCAGCCCCGAGATCATGGTGTGCTGCAAGCCAGCCTGAGCACCTGAGGACGTCGGGGCAGTGGGCTGCAACCCTCCTGCCCTGCATCCATGCCCAGCCGGCACCAGTCCCTCAGTGACCTGCAAGGTCAGAGGGAGAACTGTCCCCACTGGCCTGGAAGCAGTGGAATGCCTGCAATCCTAGCAGGAGGGAGCCCCTTTCTAGGGTCATGTAGCCACAGAGCAGCACTGCAGGGCGAGGGCTAGGCCTGCAGATCAAGTGGACCTCTCCTTTCTGTGGCCACTGCATGGTGACACTTTGGGGTGCCTGAAGTAATGCCTTACACTGGATCTGAGGCCTCTGCTTAGAGTGGTGTGTGGGGCAGGGGGACCCCGGGCATCCCTGTGCAGTTCAGGGGCTCCTGGCTGAGATCTGAGGCCTTTGCTCAGAGTGGTGTGTGGGACGGGGACCCTGGCCCTGTGCAGTTCGGGACCCCGGCCGACTCCCACCTGGACTTCCCCTCTAGTGTGCTATATCTCGGCCTTGGCCTTGTCCTGCTCGCTCACCATCCTGGTCCTGACACGCTCGCTGGCCACGCACAGGTTAGTGGCAAACCCAGACCAACCCAGGGTAGAGGCAGGCAGGGCCCAGTGTCCCATGGGCCTGCAGGACCCTGCCCTGGGTGGGCCCATGGAAGCCGGGCAGGCGGGAGGTTGGCGTCTGTGTGGGCTCTCACTGAGCTCCCAAGTCTGGCTCGGAGCTGGACAGACAGGTGGGGCCTGGCCCGCCTGCAGGGCCGTACCATCTGGCTGGGAAGCATCTGTGAGTGACACAGGGCCTGGTGTGCTGGGGTGGCATGCGAAGTGTGCCCTCTAAAAAGGGGCCACCAAGGCCTGGACCAGACAAGGAGGCAGCCTGGGCACACGCCATTCAGGTGGAATGGAAGGAGAGGCAGGTGAGGGCTGGGCGGGCAGGGCAGAGGGGCTGGGGGAGCTAGTGTAGGGGGACGGGGTGAAGAGCTGGCCTGGAGGCCGAGGTTCCGAGAGACCGAGGCCGGGTTGGATGGCAAGCTGCCTGCTTCCCTGTGAGCAAAGAGGAAAGGTGGGTGGGACAGTGGCACAGCCCTCGGCTGTCACAGAGCTGGCCCATGTTCAAGGCGTCCGGCCAGCCTGAGTGCCTGCCCCAGCACCCCCACAGTGCTGGCCCTGCTCAGTCAGCATGCGGGGCGCCACGCCCCTGCCTCCCTTGCCTCCTGCCTGGAGACTGAGCTGTCACCTCTATGCTCACTTTTTTGTCCTTTAAGCGATTTTTGCTGTATGGTGTGTGTGCTCTCTGGAGAGACAGAGAGAGACAGAGAGACAGAAAGTGAAGAATCATCCCCCAGGGGGAATGGCCATGCCACAATCCCTTCTCTTCCATTTTCCTCTTGGGATTTTGGGCACATACATGTGCTCAGCATGAGTTTCAAGCCACTGGGTCTGGTACTCGAACAGCGGTTGACCACGTGAGAGCCCGGTGCCTTCACCTCTATGCCACCTGCTGGCCTATTCTCACTGCTATTTGTCACCTTTCTAATTTGGCTCAGGCTGAGCTTTCTGTTTTATTGCCCTTAGTCTCCTTTTAAGACTGCCCAGATGTCACTTCTTCCAGAAAGCCCTCCCAGATTGGATTAGCGGACTCCTCTGGACTCCCACAGCTCTAGCCTTCCCTCCTGATGGTGGTGGGTGGTAATCAGATAGGGAGTCTGGCCAGAGGCTGGCCCAGAGGAGGAGGTTAGGGAGTGTGTATTGCCCTCTGAGGTCCTTGCCTCCCCCTTCCCTCCGTAGGGCCAACCTTCGAGCTCTGCACCGAGGGGCCGTCCCGGACCTGGGCCCCCCAGCCCGGCACCCCCACCCTTCCCGCCAAGCTATCTTCTGTTGGATGGGCTTCAGCGCCTATCAGACGGCCTTCACCTGCCTTGGTGAGCCCGTGCCCACCGGCCTGCCCTGGCTGGGCCCGCCCCAGTGGGGGG